AAAAAAAACAAGTAACTTCCCCCTTCATCCCAGCAAGTAAATACAACCTTAATAGTTTATCACTATCTCTAAATGCAACATAACCTCTCTTTACCCCATATCTATTGAATAAAAAAAGTCCAAAGGCTTTGTCGTTCTTTATCAGCAAAAGTCCAGGAAGGGCAACCAGATGTAATTATTTTTCTCCTTTAGCCCTGATCGAATAAGCCAACCTTGTATTCCTTCCCTGAGTTTTTAAATATATCTTTTAACCCCTTCAAATAGAATCCCAAAGCTAGTTTTCTGTTCATCTGTGTTTCAAGCCAAAAACTTCAGCAGATTTATTTTATATATCCAATAAAGTTTGTCCTTTTGTCACTTCTAATAAAAGTCCTTCAAAACCTTAACAGTTCTATTGTATATCCAGTAAAAAATATATATATCCAAGTCACTTTCCTGGTTCAATATTTGTATATCCTTTTGGGAACAAGTCATCCATCGGTTCCATTTGTGTGCCCATATCTTATTACATTTAAGTCCCCCTTCAAAATAATTTCAAAATCATCCATTACAACTTATTCTGTAATTTCATTACAACATGCCCTGTCAATCTTGCCAAGAAATTCATCTATTTTGTCAAGAAGCTTGGCAGATAGATATTCCCAAGTTTGTATTATAGATTTCTGCTCCATTTTCTTTATCCTCTAGCTCCCTCTAATATCCAACCTTCAAAGTTCCTTTATCATGAAAAACATGAAAAACTTCAAAACAATTGCCGCTTTTCCCATGAGAATATTTCTAGTTAATTCAAAGCTCTTTGTGGGCATTTAAAATTATAGTTCCAAGTCCATCTGAGCCCTTAAACTTTCTAAAGTCCATATTCTGAGCACCTTTTCGCTGTTTAATCCAAAAAGTAATATTTTCAAACGATAGTCACATAGGCTATCTCAAAGATCTCTCTTTAATCTGGAGAGCATTTTGGTGGCCAGAACTCTGCATCCCACGCTGATCTCCGTCGTAATGTGGCCCCACTGCAGAAAGAGACATTTAGCTCACCATGGTGCTCAAGCGGAAGTGCAAAGTTACTTTTTCATCACTGTCGTAACTGCGAATGCTAAACAAGGCAGTTGCTAAATGAGGACTACCTGTATGCTCTAGCTACAATTTATTTTCTATACTAGGGAATACATGAGAACATCCACCTTTTTTTTTCTACAGCTAGTGTTGATAAACAGACAGCCTCCAGTATCAAAGATCAGTATACGTGGCCATTACTAAGAGCCATTCATAACCTGTTTTATGCATATCCATTTTATCCTCCGTTAAAGGAATCAGTAAGAATGGTTAAGATGTTTGTAACCTCTGACTTCTGGCAAGGTTGAAGTTATGAGCTCAAACACTGGCTGCTTGTTGGTTTTGCTCAGCTTGGGTGGCTTCTCTTCTAACTACCATATTTTATGGACAGAGCTCACCTGAGGAGATTTGTACCTTCATAAAAACAATCCTTAAGAATTTAAAATTGCAGAAAGGTGGCTGCAGGTCTTACTCAGGAGCTATTCTGCCCACTTGGTTTGATTTTCCTTAAATAATCAGAACTGGAGTAAATTGTGCCATGATTTGTTACACATTTCCTGTGTGTAAGGTCTGCAATACTGGTCTCTGCTTTGCACATAAAAGCTCTTGAATTATTTTTCTTGCTTTATTTATTATAGTCAGCAACCAAGCCTTCCTGGTGTTTTCAGTACCAGTTTAAGCTATAACAGATTCAACCAGAATTTAGCCAAAGGCTGGCAAACAAATACGGTAGAACCTCGGGTTACGAACGCTTCTGTTAACGAACTTTTCGGGTTACGACCAGCCCCAGCCGCAAAATTTTGCTTCAGTTTGCAAACTCCGCCTCGGGGTACGAACAGGATACGCGGCCATTTTCCCT